GAAGTAGAGAGTGCTGTTTTATCTACAAGAGACAGGCTTGAGCAATCCATTCGAAATGACCGAAAACATTTTGAGCATCTAAGCAGGCTTGAATCGCAAGGGTGCACTTCATTGTGAATACTCATAATGGGTTAAATAAAACAATCAGTTCTTCTCAGAACCGATTGTTTTGTCAATAACCCAACAATATCATTATTGTCAAATTGCTTATATCTTCGGTTATGACAAATATATCGGTGTGTGGTTTTCACTATTTTGCTTATTTTTTTATACTTTTTCTAAGCAGCTAAAAAATTACATGTCATTTCATTAAAAAAATTTAAGAAAATCCAAAAAGTTTGACGACTTTTTATAGCGCGCCTTCTAGCGGTTAAAGTGGCAATCATATCGGGCAATATTTTATAGTAGGTGTTAATGTAAATCAAGAGCTATTCAATTGCAATTTAAGCGTTGAATTTGGTTAAGCCAATACGGAGCTATTAGCAACTTTTTGAACCGTTATTTAATTTTCCCCCACCACTTTATTTGACTAGCTAGAACAATAACACTCCCACAAGAAATAACTGAAAGTTTGTCAAGAATAGAATTAAGGTATTTGCAACCTACCTTAGCCTGTCCTATACTGCTAAAAATCCGTATTCAAAATTTACTATTGCAATTTCGCCCTCTTGCGGCCATTTTGCAAACTTGCCAGTTATTTCCAGTGCCACTTTACTTATATATTTTTTTACTTGAAATCGATACGACTAATAGTTTGTAAGATATGGCCGACCACCTCTCTTAGTGGCCCACCCTGTACATCTATCTGAATGCAATTCTGCTAATTCAGGAACCAATTTAGCGGGGAAATAAAGCGGGTAAAACTACATTTTCGATAGTCTCACACAATTATGGGCACACCCTGTGGAAACAACAATAAAAATAAGCTGGCAACATACATTTTCGATATTGTATCACACAATGGAGGGCTAGAAAAGCTTTCGCGTCTACTTTGTGGCCCAAATGATACGTTGAGCGACTCTAAAACAGTTCCGCAACGCTAGAAGGCCGATAAAGGCCCATTGTGTGGAGCGAAAGCGATCCCCTTTACATTTATCCAAATTATTTAACAATAATTCTCGGCAAGTGAACGAGCGGCGGCCATAAAACTGCAACCGATGATAGAAATTCGAATTTTAATCGAGCACAGAAGCGTAATAATATACGCAAATGCATTCGCGTAATTTATCATGGCACTCAATATTAGTTGAACGTCTCATTTATTAGCGCATATATTCCACTTGTCAGCCCTGACACCGGAAACAGAACAAAAGCGCGCAGATCGCGAAGCATTTCGAGATTGTCTTAAGCCCGTCGTTTGATAAACGAGCACTTTGATTAGGGAATAGACTCAAAGAGGTGAAACTGTGTCGTCTTAATGGCTTCTACCTGCTTGCATGTGGGATTAAACCGGCGGAAATCTGCGCAATTTGAACCCTACACAGAATAGGTTTTTGATGTGATAACTTTTTATGGGAGGGTGAACCGATTTTTCTCGATCACGCCGGCTCCCACTCCGGTCTCTTCGCGCCTGAGGCTTGGGACGCACATACGCACTTTGAATTCGAAATTTTTCTCTTAGTGCGGGTGCATCTGTAGATCTGGTAAACTTCTCAAACACACATTGCGCAGTTCATTTTATAACGCTGATAACAATGAATCAACAAATAGCAAGGGAGAAGCTGCAGATACTGCAAATACTAGGTTAAGGGTGTTCATGTACTAAATGCCTATTCGAGTTTCGCCTTCTTTTAAATTTTCAATTAAAGTACACACACAATTATACACACTAAAGCAGTTTAAGTGCAAAAAA